GCGGTTCTTCCCTTGCGATGTTTCTCCTAGTGATGTGCTCCATCAACACCAGCTGTCCATTTTCATATTCAGGTAGGTACTTCTGAATTGTGTTTTTAACTTAATCAGCCTATTGTGATGATCTTGGCATCTGAACTGAAGCAACATTCCTTTTCTGAACACAAAGTCCTGCGGGTTGAAGAAGCACTTCCTGAAATGCACAGGAGAGAAAGAAATATTCATATATATATATATATTTCCAAAAGAAATCAGGCTTTCTGAACTTCCTGCTTAGTTGAAGAGTATTCTCCATGTCATGTTGAACCCAAAATCTGAATTATTTTTGCATGACAGTGTTTTCAAATTTGGGAAACTAAAATTAGGTCCTTTGACTGTGTGTTCTCGGGCCTCATGTTGATTTTACTACAGCTACACGAGGCTTGGAAATGGCTTCAGAGAGCTTTAGAACAGGTGTGAGAATGCCTGAGACCTCAGGAATCGGTGTGGCTGGCCTTGCAGAGGAGGAAGAGCAGAAGCAGAAGTGGTATCTGCAGATCAGGCGGCTTTACAATGGCATATCCTCTGTGTGGGATCCCTCCTTACAATAGGTAAATCCTTTCAAGATGACCCCAGAACTCAAGGGGTGCTGAAGGGCAGTTTCGCTGATGTAAGTGGAAGGCATTTTCCCTGTTGCCAGGCAGCAGGATCTGCCCAAAGCTTTTCTCAGCTCAGAGGTTTTGTGTGCTATTTTTAATTGCCTAGAAATGAAGCAATTTAATATTATCTCAGAATTTCAGTCATTGCTGTAGATACCGATCCTGCAACTGCCAAGAAATGTGTGTCTTTATGGTCCATCTCCACAACTGGGTTCTTTGTCAGAGGGCTTTGACTTCTCTAGGACACTAAGCCATGAAAACAGAGTACTGTTAAGTGGAGGGCGGTGTGAGTTTCAGTAGGCTGAGCTTGCTTCTTAAAACACTGCTCAGCAGAAGTTTTTCAGTCTGTCAGATGGGGTTTGGACATAGGGCCACGCTTCTGGAGGTTTAACAAAAAGGCAGAAAGCTCCACCTGCTCCAAACAGTGGTGGCCCGTGGTATCAGTACATCTGGAAGCGCTGTGCAAGCCCTCATTTTCCTTCAGAGCATCCGGGCTGGAAAATCCTGGGAGTGCCGTGCTCCAGGTAGAGCTGTCGTAGCAAAGACTTGCTGCGGAGCAGCAGGGGCTGTGTGGGGAGGATCTTACTGCCCTGGCCCCTCTTCTGGGTGCTTCTCCCTTAATCTGTAGGCAGTAATAGCTCTTAAGGTGTTGTGGTGGGAGGGCCGATAGCTTAGTGAAGGGAAGTTGAGATGAACGAGACAGAAGCACAAACTGGACACTTTCCATATTCCTTCTAGGGCAGGAGCAGTGTCTGTCCTGTTGTGGCCACAGCAGCTACCTGGAAAGCACTGGGTCTCCGTTACTGAGTGTCTGACAAAGCTGACGCCGAACACAAACCAAGCTCTCCTTTGAGCTCTGTTTCCCCGTGCACACATAGCCAGGCAGTGACAACCACTGTGAGTCGGAGGGTTAGACAGAACAGTGCAGCCAGCCTCCAAAGAAGCAGCTGCAATACTCGAGGCTGGTGGAATGATATTTCTGCGCTAATCTGCAAGTCTCAGTGATGGGTCTTTTGGTCTGCTAGAAGAAAATTTAAACTACTAGCATCTTGTTGGGACACAGACTGATTTTATTTTCCTTTAGACTGTTTACGTTGATTCCTCCCCTTCTTTATATTGTTTACCAACCTGAAAGCATGTTACTGTAACGATGCCGGTTTGTGGTCTTCCAGTACCAACAACTCTTCAATTTTGTTTTTCTAGTGTTTATGCGAAAAGACAAAGCACATGAGGTGCTGAAAGTCCATAAACGTGCCAACTATTTTCTAGAAGAGATTCGTCCGGGGAACTTGGAGAGAGAATGCAATGAGGAAAAGTGCTCCTTTGAGGAGGCTAAGGAGATCTTCCATTCGCAGGAGAAAACGGTAAGCAGCTTCAGGAAGAGGAAAGTTAAGTGAGCTGTAAGCCTTGCTTCCCAAGCCGCCTGGCGTGGCCCTGACGGGCCTGTGCCGAGGGATCCTGCAGCGTGGGGGTCAGGATGGGCCACTCGAGGTACCTGTGGGATCCCGCTCCCTGAGCCAATGCTCCGTTTGTTGTGTAAATGTTGAACGCAATCCCTTGAAAGTATCCAGATCCTGTTTCTGCGGGAGCCTTGATCCAGCAGCGCGATTCTGACCTTTCCAGGGGCCACTTGCTTGACCAGAGCCCCCTGGATCGAGGGGAGCAGCGCCTGGTCCCAGTAGCGTCCAGCTGGGAAGCAGGGCTGACGGCGTTCTGCCGGGCACCTTCTGCTGACGCAGGAGTTTGGGCTGCAGCTCTACACAGAGGTGCCTCGCTTCTCTTGTGTCTAGCCCGAGTTGCCGAGGCGATGTCTTCTGTAGCAGGTGCTGCGGCGCAGGAGAAACGGCTCCTTGGAGAGCAGCAGCTGGTGCTGAGGGCCTTGCACCGACACGTTTTGTGGGGAGGGGATGGGGGGGCATCAACTGAAACTCAGTTTCTAAATTATATCTTCAATAACCAATACAACCACTTATTGACCGTTTTCTTAATTTCTGATTTCTTCTTGCAGATGGAGTTTTGGTTCAATTACAAAGGTAAGTAAAAAAAGGAATTTTTTCTGTTTCTTGTGTCCCTTCCGGGTACAGAGAATTATGTGGCATTTTAAACCTAGGCTTCTCTTAATTCCCGGAATTACACTGTGCCTTGTTTCTTCTTCTTAGGCTTAAATCCATGTAGTACAAATCCCTGTAACAATGGTGGAGTCTGCAAAATCAGACACTACAATTATTTTTGCATCTGCCCCCCAAAATTTGGAGGAGACAACTGTGAAAAAGGTGAGTAGAGGACCTGACACATTGACGCTCATTGTGAAGGAAGGATTTGGTGACCTTAGAGCAGCTGCCAGTGCCTGGAGGGGCCGACAGGAAGGATGGAGAAGGGCTTTTCACAAGGGTGTGTAGGGATAGGACACGGGGGAATGGCTCTAAACTAAAAGAGGGCGGTTTTAGATTAGATATTGGGAAGAAATTCTTCACCATGAGGGTGGTGAAACACTGGCCCAGGTTGCCCAGAGAAGCTGTAGCTGCCCCCTCCCTGGCAGGGTTCAAGGCCAGGTTGGATGGAGCTCTGAGCACCCTGGGCTGGTGGAAGATGTCCCTGCTCGTGGCAGGGGGGTTGGAACCAGATGATCTTTAAGGTCCCTTCCAACCCAACCCATTCTATGATTCTGTGATTAAAGCTGGAATTTGCTCCTTGAATACCTGAGCTGAAGGTTTGCACAGGCTTCTCCCTGAGGTTATCAGTGGTGACTTTATCTGTCCGATACAGATCGGTGTTTAAGATTCCTACGTTAGAACAGTGTTTTCGTACGTGACACGTTGGGGCACCGCCACCCTAGGAGGGGAATCGTGGTGTGACAGCAGCTGCAGCCACTTCTCGCTCTGCGGTGCGGAAGCAGGGGGTAGCACCACCTCCTGTCATCTGTGCGAGCCCCGAGGAAGGCTCGTGGCCATCTCCCGTCCTCCCCCAAGGAAGCGTAGGGAATCTCCTCTTTTCATCACTTTAGAGCGCTGAGAAGTCTCGTGAGTCCTGCCATCGATGCCTGCGCTCGAGAGCATGCGCGGTGACACCCGATTCTCTTTTTAATTTTATTGAGTAAAAGAATCAAACCAATTAGCTGAGCATAAACCCCCCAGAAATTGTATTTATTTTGTAATATACGACTGATGAAAATGAAGTGGAAAAGCTGCCTTTCTCTTACCAAATTTTTTTGTCCTCTGAAATGCTGTATCTGGTTTGCAAATGACTGAGACATGAAAATACAGCAAAAGCCAAACTGACCTGGAAACTATGAATCATAAGTAATTTCTTTTTTCCTCCTGTGTGCTTTTGTTGACCTTTTCTTTTTACAGTGAAGCACTTAAACATTATTTTTTTTTAAATATAACGATGCATAAAAAAGCTCCGTCAATTCCTCACAGACTTATCCCCCACCAAAATGCCTCGTTCTTTAAACCTGTCACGGTGGAAAAGCTCAGATACAGAGACAGATCAGAAACGGATGCGTTCAGACGTGTTTGCTCTTGCAGGCACTTTCTTGCCCCTGCTCCACAGGCAGAAAGGCCAAGAGCCCAGCTGTGGCCTCCAGCCGAAGCTGGCAAATAAGAAAATGGTAGAAGCAGGCAAACAACAGTAGACATCAGGCAACGTGTTTGGTTTGCTACAAATCAGCGTGGTTTTCTGGAACTGCAAGAAGTAGTTTCTCCTGTTGCCCTGCCAGATTCCAGCAGATTTTTTTTCCTACTTTCTTTCCTCTAAGGATAGTGCTAGCAGCCGTGCGCGGCTCAGGGGTCCCTGCGCAGCAATAACCGAGTGAATCCCCGGGTGTTTCCATCGCAGAAAAGCTTGAATGCTGGTATAAGAATGGCGGGTGCTGGCAGTACTGCAGGGACAGCAGCAGCGCCTTCCACGTGGCGTGTTCCTGCGCGGAGGGTTACAGCCTGCACGAGGACGGGAAGAAATGCGTGCAAGCAGGTAAAGCGCGGGCACCTCGGGGTTACTTCAGGTGCAGAGCAGAATTGCAGGCACCATCTTTTCATTAGTTGCAGAAGAGGAGGTGCAGAAGAGCACGCTGTAGCCACTGCAGCTTGCGTTTAGTGTATGGAAAAGATCGGTCTTATTAATAATGTGTTGTTTAATTATTTAAAATTTTAAGGTTCTCCGCAGTCCGGTCTCTCTCTCTAATCCAGTGCCCCCGTGAGCACGTACTCAGCAAAGGAGCAGCCGTGCAGTCTGGGGTGGGCCTGTTCCTTCTGACCACCACGCAGACTTAGACCAACTTAACCGCGTTCCGAAGCGAAACCGCAGTGTTAGGAGGCGAGGGGACAGGACAAGGGGCTTCAACCCTGTCGCAAGGGGAGCGGTGGGTTTGGGTTCTGTCCTGAGCAGCCAGCCGTGGCTGATGGCGGTGGTTCAGAAAGGCAGAGCCGTGTGCTGGGTTTCTCGGTAATTGGCTGCACCCACCTTGTTCAGATGATGGTGGAGGTGGGTGGCGAAAGCGGAGTTTGACATCAAGATGTCAGAGTCACTCCTGGGCTCTTAGGGGAGGGTCGAATCCCATTCCTGGACAGGAAGAGTGCTGCTCCACGGTGCCGGGGTGGGGCACGACACCGTGTGCCCAAAATTCAAATCTTTACTTCTGCCTTTCTGCCCCCCAGCACCGTTTCCGTGTGGCCTGATTAAAGCCAGGCAGGCTCTGGAGGAAGAGC